CGTCCCGCTATTGGTTATTGACCATAGAGGTGTCTCGGTCATGTCTACATAGTTCTCGAACCCGCAGGGTATATACACTTAACGTTTGGTAACAATATAAGTATAGTTGAGTCATTATGGTGGTTCCCGAAGGTTGTTCAGAGTCCCGTATGAGATCCCGAACACGACGAGGACTCCGAAATGGTCTGGAGGTGAATATTGATATATTGGACGAAGGGTATTGGAGTCCGGAATTGTTCGGGGGGTACTGGGTAATGACCAGCATTGACCGAAAGGTGTTTCGGGGGCCCCCGTCAAGTGTTGGGAGGCCTCATGGGCCAAGGGAAGGGGGCAAACCAGCCCACTAAGGGGTCAAGCGCCTCCCTCACCCCATCTCACGTAACCAGGAGGGTTGGGGGCGCCCCTAGGGCTTCCCACCACTTTGGCTTGGGGGCCAAGTCTCCTAGGGGGAAAACCTCTATGGTTTCCCTCTTGTAGCCGCCGCCCCCTAGATTGGATCTAGGGGCACCCCTCCTCTCCTCCCTCCCCCTATACATAGAGAGGTAGAGAGAGGGCAGCCACACCCATACGGATCTATTCGTGCCATGGCGTTGCTCCTCCTCTCCCTCGTAGTCCATCTTCTTCTCTGTAGTGCTTAGCGAAGCTCTGCTGAGATTTCTCCACCACCACCACCATCATGCCATCGTGCTGCCAGAGGACTCGAGCTACTACTTCACCGTCACTCGCTGGATCAAGGAGGTGAAGGCGTCATCAAGCCATATGTGTGTTGAACGCGGAGGTGCCGTCCGTTCGGCACTAGATCGGAGTTCGCGGGACGGATCATGATTGGACCGCAAAGACGTTCGACTACATCAACCATGTTTTTTAACGCCTCCGCTTAGTGATATACATGGGTATGTAGATGCAATCTCTCCTCTAGTAGATGGTCATCTCCTAGATGGATCTCGGTGAGCGTAGGAAATTTTTTGTTTCCTATGCAACGTTCCCCAACAACTAATAAATTGGTTATTATCATATTTCCCTGTTCATGATAATCATTTATTATCCATGCTAGAATTGTATTGATCGGAAACTCAGATACATGTGTGGATACATAGACAACAACTAGATGGTGATCCCCTAGTGAGCCAAAGTCGCACCCTTGTAATCGAGATCTCAAGCGATAATCAATCAGCAGGACGCATGCCTTTTACGTCCTCCGTGAGGGATCGAAGCTGGGTAAACTCGCATCTCTCGATTCCGATCAACCTAGTTCAAACTACTACCTAGCTGTGATGGCCTCACGACTAAGTCTTTTTTTGAGGACATCTGTCGTGACAAAACCACTATAGTTGGCGCCCACCGTGGGGCCACCGCATGGTGGGTTTGAGTTCTTGGAGGGCACTTTCCCAGTGATCGAGGGATACACAATTGTCCAAATTACGAAGAGTCATTGGGGAAAGCTCTACATCTACAACTCAGGCTAGGATCCCGAGGCTGACTCAATCGAGTACGGGTACCGGATCCCCTTCGGTAAGATCCACGTCTTCATCGGAAAAAATGGTGAATCCGGGCCCGAGCCGGACATCTACTCCAAAATCGTCAAGCCGGCTCGGCGCGCCAAACCCGGCCAGGCACAAGCCGGCCGGACCCATGTTTTCGTCGGCTTCACTCATGGGCTCGACCTGCCAAATGATTCCGCTTCTGGCAACGACACATTGGTCAACTCGGATGGCGAATCTTCGACCAGGGAAACCGAGTCGATTCAACCACTTTTTGATGATCGGCTTGAGGGCTACTCCGATGACGAGATCGGCCTGGAGGTCTACGAGCCGCCTCATAGAGCGGTCTTCATGGCAGGGTCGGCGGGTCAAAACTAGCCTCGCTATGATGAGCACGGACGTCTGATCACGGGGGAGGCAACAAACTCGAACTTACCACCGCCCGCTGTGAACCGGGTTGCCAACGCTGGAGGCGCTGCGATCATTGACCCCACAACAGTGGTGGACCCGTCGGTCATGGCGGGCGGCTCAGGACGGACAGGTGTCCAAGCATTGGCCAAGTTGATGGTTACCCTGACAACGCTCCTTGCGGAATCGGTGACCACAGACAATGTGGCTACACGTAACGCAGAGATCACTAAGTGTTGCAAGCATATGGCTAAAATCCAGGAATATATCAACACAGAGAATACGCATCTTGCAGAGCTCGAATCCTGGAAGAGCAGAGGCGTTTGGAAACCGAGACTTTGAACCTCCATCGTCATTAGAGGGAGTTGGTCGCATTCCATCAGGGAAGGTTCCAGTCCAGGATCCTAGTCGCGATGGATCCGGCGAGGTTGTTCCTAACGCCGGCTCTAACGGTCCCAGGGGATGGGGAGGTGACACTATGAGCACCGCCGGCTCAGCCAGTCCAGTAGTTACCCCTGATCCAGGTGCGGCCCGTGGACCAGCCGACTCGTTTCCAGACACCGGTTGGTCATTATTCAAATCCCGTGGATAACGTGATGGCGGCGACAGGCAGATTGACGGCAATCCCGATCAATGACGACTCCCCTGCCGGTGTCGTGACTCGAGAAGCCATTGAGATGCTAAAAACGGCGGTCACGCAGCAGGCGAACTATTCACACAATCCAAATAGGCTTCACTCAACCCCTCATCCAAGCAATAGCAGAAGCCGACACGGCCAAAAGCTGAAATTTTATTGTCTTGTAGAAGCTTGTTAGAAACCCTTGCTTAAAGGGCACCGCCCTCTCGTGGATCCGATAACTCAAGGTCACCTCTTGGGAAAACAACGAGAATTATTTTTGCTCCTTTACCGGATCACTAAAGAGACTAATCATGCTCTAGATTTGGCTATGTTGGCCTCTAGGTCGTTGGGCCTGGATATGGCTCTCTCCAGTGAGGTGATAGTCTGTGGTGGCTTGCTTCATCGTTGGTGTTAGTCTGTGTTGCCACTCTGGCCTGTGGAGGCATCCTCACTGTGGATTGCGGTTATCGAAATATCTTTGTGAGGGTTTCTCTCTCCAGATCAGGTGGTTACCTTAGCCATCGAGATGCAATCTATGGACTACGACTTGACACAAAGGGTTTGGTTGTGCAGTGAAGGCAAAACGTTTTTAGCCCATCGCATGTAGCTGCTGGCATCGTGGAAAAGTGGTGGCGACAACACATGATTGACTTCGATTTGGTGGTACTACTCAAGTACTCGGTCTCGAGCTTTGGGGACCTAGTTCAGACCCAAGTTGGTTATATGTGACGATGTCGATGTTTTTGTATCATTACCTTATTGAAGGCATTGATTGGATTTAGTGACAGCGACGCTTGAACGTCGCTCCCTTTTTTAAGATGTTGCTGTTGAAGAACCTAGTTGTCCTTGTGGAGTCAAAAATTGGTCGGTGCAGATATGGTCATTTTTGTAGTTTGTCGATGGCATATTTGATCACTTCATGGATTTTTTTTTTCTTCCTCACTTAGGCATAAATATGGTGTTATATGATTTAGCTATTTATCGAGGGGGTTTTATTTGTGTGTACGCGTCGGTGTTGGCTATGCCCATCTTAACTATGGAGACATCATGTTTCATTTTGAGTCAACTAGTAAATGTGCACGTGTAATCTTAAAATTTGTTTATGTTTATTCTAATTCATTGGTTGTAACCAAACCAAACCAATTTTTTCAAGTTGTATGTTTCGAAACATAAGCTGTGAGGTGATAATATTCTGTTTCTATACACGTTCATATGCAACAGGACACTGCCGGTTCAGAGTGCGACTGCATGCTCCGCCAACTTACTATGGATAGGCCGATTACTAAGTAAGCTTTCACAAGTAAATCGTTTATGGATCAACTGCATTACGGGCGTTTGACCGATTAGGGGATTGCCTCGTGCCATAGTGACATGTACAAAATTAGAACGTGGTTTATTAAAATTTGAACAAATAAATCACAAAAAATGCTGAGCGTTAAAGAAATAACGCACCTGTAGGGATCCAGAAGGATGCCCTTAACCTTGAACATCTGGTACAGGAGCGGCCGCCATCTCTCTCTCTCATCGGTGGCCACCCAGTGCTTGTCCTTCGGCCTGATCTTCTTGGCGACCTTGCTACCGTCATTCCCGACGGCCGACACAGTCGGGCAGGCGGTCCCCCTCCCTGACGGCTGAGCTGCATGCGGTTTAGGGGGCATCCCCGGCAGCTGTGCAGGCGGTTTAGTAGGCGTCCCAACTGCCGAGGGCCATGGCCAGGCGAGGCGATGGTTGGGGACGACATGGAGGTGTGAGGGGCGGCGTCCTTGAAGGCGTGACAGGTCGACACGATGGTGGCGCGGCGTCGCTGAAGGCCCTAATATGTGGCGGGTCGAAGTGCAAGGGGCGACATGGCGAAGGTGCGGCGGCTCGATGCAATGCGGCTTGCGACTGTTCTCTTGTGTCAGTTTTCTTTGTGCGAAAGGGTATGGAAGGAAGGGGATCAGGGAGGAGATGGTCGATTAGCTCTAAACGTGTTTAGTCGCTTACCATTAGGACAATAAGGACGGTTGGATTAACGCGGACGGATGGCCGAGATTTATTGGATATGCCTTTTTAGGTCTTTTTATATTGATATATACTCCGTAGATGATATCGATATAGATATAGATAGATATAGTACATAAAATCCACTCTTTATTGAAAATTCAGTGCGTTTTTTTAACCTACCCTGCAAATTTAAAAGTTTGATCATTTTTACGAGATGCTCTGACGTGTGTGTTCGCACCTTGGCTCGGCAGCTTCCATATCCGACGGCCTACGGGACTTGTGTGTTGAAAAGAAGTTTCGAAGAAGCCATTATACGAATCTCAAAGCAGTTCACCGTCCGGAGCCCAGACGTCGAGGCGAGGCGAACGACCCTGGGGCAGGCCAAATATTTCTAGTCGTCCCCTTCCCTCAGCCTCAAGCAGATCTGGCCACTCCCATCCGCCCAGTCTCCTAAACCCCTCCCCTCCCCCTCCCCTCTCCGGCCGGCGCCGCCCGCCACCGCAGCCATGGCCTGGAGGCTGCCGCCCCTGGCCGTCCTCCTGCTCCTCGTCGCCGCGGCCGTCGCCCCCCTCTCCTCCGCCGTCCGCCCGGTCTCCGAAGCGCACAGATCCGTCGCCGCCGAGCTCTTCGCCGCCTCCCCCGACGAGTAAGTTCCGTAGCCGCTCGCCAGCATCACCGTCTCCCCTGATCTCCAGCTTTCGCCCCTCGTGGGCGCAATTAAGGACCTAGTCCGGCTCAGATCGATCCGGCACGGGGCTGCCCCCTCGAAATCTCGGGTCATGGCCGCGTTCTAATCGCTGGTTTTGTCTGTGAGCGCTGTGCAGCTTGGAGACGACGTACGAGGCGGTCAGGACGTTCAAGATACTCGGAGTGCAGAGGGATAAGGGCCTTGATGGCAAGGCCTGCAAGCTCGCCGCGGATAGGCTGTCTTCGTCCTCGTCGCCCGCCAAGGATCTGTTCCACGCGGTCCAGATCGCTGGCGTTCTCGCATGCAGCGTCGATGCCGGTGTTTACGATGTGGGTTTTAGCTCTGGAGATCTTGCTGCTTCTGCTGGTATTCACCTGCTTGATGGTGTTCTGAGATTCGTTCTTCATGGCAGGACGTCGCGTCGAGGCTTAAGGCGGTGATCAAGGACACCAATTCGCTGCTGGAGTTCTACTATTCTGTGGGAGGGCTGCTCAGCTTCAAGGTTACTCCCTCTAATGCACTTTCAGCTTGATGTTTTTATTTTAATTTTTTTCCAGCACTGCTGTTAGTTGGTTGTCTGAATTTTATCTGGTAGATGATAAAGTTGTGTTGATTTTTTGCAGGAACAAGGCCACAGTGTTGTTTTGTCTGATGCCGATAGCACATTTCATGCAATTAAGGTTAAAGCAGTGCAATATGCTATGCACTTTTTCCTTGTGTAGTTCTTGCAATCACAATTTTGCTCAGCTGTTTAAACTAGAGTTGTCTGATATATATCTTTGTTTCTATAGGCACTTAGCCAAAGTGATGGGAGATGGCGCTATGACACCAACAGTGCTGAATCCAGCACATTTGCTGCTGGTAATATTTTTTGTCTTGCGACCTTTTCTGTTTTTTGCTGCAAATCAAATGTATCAGGCACTGATGTTTAGAAACACTGTTCTGCAACAGGTATAGCACTAGAAGCATTGGCAGGAGTTGTTTCACTGTCTGATGCGGAGGTTGATCCGTCTATGGTGTGTATATGCTCTCTGCTTGTACTTGAATTACTTCATTAACTTGTTGTACATTTATATGTGATTATCTTCCTTGAATGTAAGAGATGAAGAAGTCGGATAACTGTATAGTACATGTTGTCTCACAAATTCTTTTAATGGGGAGAGGGTTGAACTGAATGCCAGTGAAAACCTTATACACAAGCAATGCTTGTTACGTTGTTATCTTCCTATACATAAGTAATAAAGATGTATGGGTGAATATACACTTAAATACTAGTATATGTTATGAAGTATTGAAAACAGGAAGAGCTTGATTTCAATACAAAAGAGAAACGGCTATATAACAAGTTGTTTATCCCTCAGCTTATATCATTCTAATTACATCTCACAACATCCATTCATCTGAATTACAAATGCACATGACATGATCTATCATCCTAAAAGAGTTGCAGCCATGTCTCTGTATGTGCCATGCCCTTTGGTTTATAACAATCTCAAATCAACTAGGTGTTACCATATCATTCTCGTGTATGTGTACGATGTTCTGCTTTCCTTCTTGGCTCATACAATTTGTTGCCGAATGCTTCTTCCAAGTTTCAGTCAAATGTGTTTGTTCTGAATTTGTTATGCGCGTCATTTTTTATTAGTATATCATTTGAAGTTTGCCACTATTGGCGGTCCTGATTTTTAATACTGTGTCATCAGATTGGAGTCGTTAAAAATGACATCGTGAAACTATTTGGCACAATCAAGAGCTATGGTATGTTCTCTAACCGTCTTCTTTGTGCTCACTGAAGATGAACATTTGATTAAATTGCTTTAAGACAAGGCGCTGGTAGACCAGGCATTTTTTCTATTTTATCAACTTAAACTCGACCAGAGTTCTCCAGGAGTCAAGGTGCCTGGTTAACACCTCGTAGGAGCTTAGTTACCAAATTGCTAAATCTATGGCATACTGAGTCGCATGTTTGGATAGTTAGCAGTACTATTTAGTTAGTGTGTTTTGATACTATTCCATTACGATACGAAGAAACCACTTGCAAGTGAAAATGTTCCTCTTACTGTTGATAGCTTCTTATGATATGTGTTTTCTCAGATGATGGAACCTTCTATTTTGATGAGAAGTATGTTGATGGTTCTGAATACAAGGGCCCTATAACAACTTCTGCTTCAGTAGTACGTGGTGTCACCTCCTTCGCTAATGTTGTTTCTGGGAAATTGAACGTAAGTTATTTCATTTCATTTTGGTGTTTTTTCATTAAATTTATGTTAAGCACCTCCCATAACCAACAACACTCAACCCACAGATCCCTGGTGAGAAAATACTGGGCTTGGCAAAGTTCTTTCTTGGTATTGGGCTCCCAGGTAGTGGAAGGGATTGCTTTAATCAGATTGAGTCCTTGTCGCTCCTGGAAAACAATAGGTAAGTTTTCCTCTCTTTTTTAGCATTCTCGATAAACCTGCGCCCCACATTATTATTAGTCTCTGTTGCCCTGTGATGCTTATTTCGTTTCTACAACATGCAGGATCTTTGTTCCTTTGATCCTTTCACTTCCTTCCAAAGTACTGTCACTGACCTCCAAAGACCAGCTTAAGGTGATTATCACATTCTAGTCTCTTTGATTTTGTCTGAATATAATGATAATATTTTTTGTTTGTCCATTATATTATTCTGCATTGTAGTGTAAAATAGTAGTAGGCATATCGATATTGCACTAATGATTGTTACTGTGAGCAATTCTATCTCTAGCAAGCACTTTCTGTATTCATTAAATGTTGTAGACTTGAATTTATCTTGTTTCGATACAAGCATATGCATCCTATGTGGTACTTCTGTAGTTGCAATTTAATAACAATAGTGTCTGCTAAAAAGATGTATATGGCGTGTGTGTGAAAATTGTACCACATTTAGCTGCAATCTTGCGCTGTATTGCTTTTGAGTTTTGACGCATGTTGTGTTTAGCGCAGTGTAATTAACTCCAACTCGTGTTCCCTTGATATATATTATTTTCAGGTTGAAGTAACTACAGTGTTTGGTTCTGCGGCACCTCCGCTCAGAGTGAATCTTGTGCAAGTCTTGGGCTCTGATTCCAAGGTCATCACCACTGACAGCAAGGTACAGAGTTAGATTGGTGTTTACCTCTTGGAACTTATTTTTTCATTATAATAGTTCACCATTGTTTTGTCCGTGTTTTAGCTACAATTCCCTAATATCCATTTCCTTCTGGTATCAGGAACTTCAGTTTGACCTCGACAACAATGTTCATTACTTGGACATTACTCCATTGAAAATAGATGTTGGGAAGTACTCGCTAGTTTTTGAGGTACCTGTAAACTTTATTAATTTGTTTGATATATACACATAATGTAATAGACTAATATTACTTTACATTACTGATGTTTTTGCCCTTCGATCTTCAAGATTACTCTTCAGGATTCAGAACATGAAACTGTTTACACTACTGGAGGGAGAAACACCGAGTCTGTCGTTGTTACAGGACTGATCAAAGTTGACAAGGCAGAAATTGGAATTTCTGAGAATGATGCTGGGAGTGCGGAGTCTGTCGAAAAGTAAACTCTTCGAACCACTTGATTCCATGCCATTAGAAAAGCATGTTTTACAGCAACATTTTAAAGATAAACTAACTCTGACACCAACACCCAAGTAATTGCAGCCTCTATATCCTTGATCACTTTAAATTAGTTCATTCTCATCTGGAATAACGAATAACACTTCCTAACCTGTTATTATGTGGTTCTTCTCTTCACATCTGACATTTGTTTGAGAACATATCCTGCATTGTTTCAGTCATGTAGCTGAGTTGTGATGTTGAACAATATATTAGTTGAGTTATGTGAAACTTGGAATGGAAGTTTAGGTTCTAATTTCATAGCAAAACGGCTTATTTTGCATGTCTCATTTCAAATCCGATTCATTACAGGTTAGATCTGCTGAAAGATACAAAAGTTTCTCTCTCTGCGAACCATCTGCAGAAGTTACGTCTATCTTTTCAACTATCTACACCACTTGGACGCACATTTAAACCTCACCAGGTCACAATAACACTCCATTTTCTTTCTCAAATGGCACAGTACTAGTTCTTTTCCTGACTTGATTTAGCGAATTTGTTGCCAGGTTTTCTTGAAGTTAAAGCATGAAAGCAAGGTTGAACACTTATTTGTGGTGCCAGGTTCTGTGAGGCAATTCAAAATTGTTCTAGTTGAGTAACCTACTCCAGAGTTCGTTTTGCTCTCGTCATTCTCTCGGCAAATGTTTCCATTAGGTTTTAGGTTGTCCATTATATTATCCAGAAAAACACATACACCGACAGAGGCTTTTGACATAGAAGGTACTAGCTAGGTTATGTAACTTGTTTTCAGGAGTTCTTTGATTCACATGATTCTGAAAAACGCAGGATTCTAGTGGCAGGTCCCTAGAATATCCTTCGATGCTGGACACCGTAGGAATTGACACCAAAGTGTGTTAGACTACATTATAGGGGTTACACGTGATGGAAAATTTCATTTGAAATTGAGTACAAAGTGTGGCCTTTCTATTCCTACAAATCAAACAACCTTTTGTAGGAAGCTTTAAGAAACTCTAGGAAGGAAACTTGTTGGCATTTTTGTGACCAAGTGAGGTTTGAACAAGATTATCCAGGTGCCAATACATTTGAAATTAACCTGTTAAATATTGTCCAGCAAGTATGATGGTGATGGTGGACGCATCTTCCTGTTGTGCTTGAATTTTATGATGTTACTGTGGTCAGATGTGGAGATGAAGTACCAAAAGATCACTTAACATATCTTAATTTGCATGTTTTTGCTGCCTTTCAGCTCTTGAGGGTTCCAGAAGAATCATAACATGATTTCTTATATGCTTGTTCAATATATTGTAGGATTTTCTTGGATTGGTAGAGAAATTTTACTACCTTTCGGGAACATATGACCTCGAGCTTTCAGTTGGTGATGCTTCAATGGTATGTTGCCACATTTATAACTCTACAGTTCTGTTTGGTTTAGCCTTGCTGATTATTCTTTGTCTGCTTCAGGAAAATTCGTTCCTACGAGCCCTTGGCCAATTGGAGTTGGACTTGCCGGAGGCCCCAGAAAAGGCCCCACGTCCTCCGGCACAAGCTGTTGACCCGTTAGCAAAGTTTAGGCCACAGAAGGAGATAGAACACATATTCCGTGTGCCAGAGAAGAGGCCACCGCAGGAAGTCTCCCTTGCATTTACTGGCCTCACGCTCCTCCCTTTCATTGGGTTCTTGATTGGGGTGAGTCTACAATTCCTACTCTTTCTTTATTTCTTCATTTGCTATCACACTTCTGTACTGGTTTCTCTAAATCAAAAAAGTTGCTGAGAGTATCCTACTCTAAATCAAAAATGTTGTTGAGAATATGCTTATTCAACATACTGATGCTAATAATGTGCTTCTGGCATTTACTTGTAGCTTATGCGTCTGGGAGTCAACTTGAAGAACTTCCCTTCCCTGCCAGGACCAGCTGCATTCGCATCACTCTTCCATGCCGGAATCGGAGCAGTACTGTTGCTCTATGTTCTCTTCTGGGTTAAGGTTAGCATCTTCCTTGTGGTGAAACATATAATTGCACTAATAAAAGTTCTGCTCACTATCATTCTTCTGTCGGAACAGCTGGATCTTTTCACAACTCTGAAGTACCTCAGCTTCCTCGGCGTGTTCCTTGTGTTCGTCGGCCATAGGACCCTTTCTTATCTTTCCAACACGGCAGCAAAACAGAAGACTGCTTGATGGGAAGATGCGAAGAATGCGTGATCATCAATTTTCGGGCAGTGGCAGTTGCTTGGGTTCTGCAAATGCTTTTGCTTGAGATCCTGACCGAGTTCTTGCGCAACTTGAGTTTTGAGGGACAACTGGGTGTCATTTTGTAGTGGGTGCCAAGAATCCTGGTACTAGAGAAGTGGTAGGACCTCACCTTCATGTTTTATGCACCGATGTTTACTGAAGTGGTAGGACCTCACCTTCATGTATGATGCATTGATGTTTACTAAATAGGCTGGATTTGTTAAACATAGAATTAATAAGATCATATTCTTACTCAAAAAGTTAACTTGTGTTATGCCTTCTGATTTACAAACTCACAAAACCAAATCCATTCCATTTGAACTCCCCAACGAATTGTAACCATTACATTCCATCTAATTAACCCAAGCAAAATGGGAGCAGAACCAATCCATAATTAAAAGTGCATCGGCTGCATTTTAGCCCAAACCTAAGAATGGTTTAAATGTATTTTCAGGATAACCTATACATGCGAGCTAACAATTGTATCATCAATTTTCGGGCGGTCACAGATGCTTGGGTTTTGCAAATGCTTTTTGCTCGAGACCCTGACTGAGTTTTTCTTGCGCAACTTGAGTTTTGAGGGACATAAAGGTATCATTTTGTAGTCGGTGCCAATTTTCCTGGTACTAGAGAAGTGGTAGGACCTCACCTTCACGTATGATGCATTGATGTTTACTAAATGGGCTGGATTTTTTAAACATAGAATAGATTTTTTTAAACCATTCTTATCGGAAAAGGTTAACTTGTGTTATGCCTTTTGATTTACAAACTCACAAAACCAAATTCCCCAACCAAACACTGAATTGCAACCATCACATCCCACCTAATTATCCCAAGCAAACATAGGAACAAAACCAATCCTGACATTCCATTCCACTTCGATCCCAAACCAAACACGCCCTAAGATAGTTCAAGTGCATTGGCTGCATTTTGGCACGAACCTAAGAGCACTTTAAATGCATTTTCAGGGACAAACCCAACAACGCTTTAAATGCATTTTCAGGACCAACACGGCTGCCCCACACATGTGAGCTAACAACTGTAACAAAGCAGAGAAATCCCATCTTCAATATCACATAGATCTTGGTACTTCGAATATACAAGTTTCTATCAAAATCCAAGTAAATGTTCACACCAGTTAATTACAAGATTCTGATGGTCTGAGGTCCAGAGTGCCTATATATATATTTATATATAGTTACAGGTTGCATCTGACATTGTGTAACTAAATGAATCATGTATGAACTACTCAATTTCCTTAAACCTCCATATACACCCGTCCGGATACTGTCTATCTTATATTTTTTGCGGCAGAAACCGTTTTAACTTTGCTTGGTTAGTAGGCATCTGTGGATCATTTGCACCCGGTACTTTGAGGAAACCTCAATTATTTGACCAACCAGGCCGTGGTCACTCGTAAAGAATACACCGATGACAGACGCCTCCCTCACCTGCTGCTCCACTTGGAAAAAATACGGCGTGGACTAAACCACCTTCTGTGATTCAGGCTACGGGAGAGCATCATTTTGTCGCTGCGCTAATCTTGAATACAATCCATCCTGCTTGACAAGGTCGCTGTGCTTTCCGTCCTGCACAACCATACAGAACAACTTAGACCATGTTTGTACACAACACTGCAAGTCTTGAAAGAAGTGTTCTCATGCTAATTTTAGTGTAGACTTCATGTTAACACTTTGCAACAGCAGCTGAGAACATACCTCCACAATACTGCCATTTTCCATCACAATGATTCTGTCAGCCGCTTGAATCGTAGACAGCCTAGAACAAATAATGGAGTTAGCTCGACTCTCCGTGTTCAAAATAACAGGCACCGGAGTAAGCACGCATTACCTGTGAGCTATGATAATCACGGTTCTTCGAGCCTTAGGATCAGTGCTAACTTCTGTGATGACACTCTATAACATGGCAGAGAGAAAGATTAACAATCTACTCATAAGTACATTTTAATTGCACAGAATTTGTTCATGAAGAGTTTACCTTCACATAATGTTCACTCTCGGCATCAAGTGCACTAGTGGCTTCGTCGAGTACTAAGATGGCCGGGTCCCTCAGAAGGGCCCTTGCAATAGCGACGCGTTGCTTTTGGCCTCCACTAAGAAGAGCATCGTCGACAATGGTGTTATAACCATCAGGAAGAGCCATTAAGAAATCGTGAGCATAAGCCTGTTTTGCAGCCCACTCAACTTCTTCCTGGCTAACTTCTCTTGGGCAGCCATACTTAATATTAGAACTAACATCCATCCGGAATAGCTTAGGCTCCTGCATATAACAAGTATATATGCTGTTAAATACAACAAAGATTCATCTGGCACGACGACTTTGCTGGGTTTATTGGATCCGAACCTGTCCCACAAAACCAATTCTTTCCCTGAACCATCTGGTGTCAAGTTCGCTGAGTGGGACACCATCTATTAATATCTGCATTAGTCACAAATATAACTTCAGAGTTCAGACCAATAACTAGTCTGTTTCAAGTTCAACGTGTCATAGCAGCAATACTGGCTCCTGGAAGGGACAGAAACAATAGCAAGGTCGAAATAGCTTACTTGCCCATTTGTAGGTTCATATAGTTGAAGTAGTAGGTTAACTATAGTACTCTTGCCACTTCCACTAAGACCAACCTTTAAAATTAGAAACCATATATGAACATTCAGATACAGATCAATACTTGCGAAAATTCATATATATGAAAGCATCAGCCTGTATATCTTACAATTGCAACTACTTCATTTGGATTGAGTGTTAGATTCAGTCTTCTCAAAATTGGTGCCTGCACATTAAGGGCCACATCAGAACCCAAAACCCGTACTTAGTTCATAATAATCACAAAGCACTCAAGCTTTAGGATGGACCCTACTATGTGTGTGCTCATAAATCATAACAGAAAAGCATTTAGAAGGAAGGCGTTAACATACTGAAGGTCTTGAAGGATATGAAAATTCTACATCTGCATATTGAATTCGTCCTTCCAGCTTCTGTAACCTGAGGCCTGCAAGAATGAAATGCTTTAGACTACCGAACAGTTGCACATCCTCCCAATTAAAATATCCAAGCACAGAGACTCGAAACTAATGTGTCAAGTCAAAAACAGTCTTGCCTTTAGAGGTAAGCTGCCTGCTAGGCAAGAGATCCATCAACCGGAAGACTTTTTCACTTGCTCCAACAGACTGCATCAGGGAGGACCAATTGTCTCCAATCCACCAGGTAGACAAAATCAGCCACTCGGCGTAGAGTGTGAATTTTGTCAGTTGCTCGGCAGTGAACTTCCCATTCATGATTGCTATTCCTCCAATCAAAACAGCAACAACCTACACAAAGCTTATTTGGAAGAATACTTCATCAGTAGCGCAATGAGAAGCATACACAAAAGCCTTATATTTTTAATATAGATATTAACAAAACTGAACAGCAACATCAAATACCTGAGTAGAATGGTACAGATAATTCAAGCTCAAGCTCCAGCCTCCATAAGCCATCGTCTGTCGAAAGCTCACATCATACAGCTTATCCAGCCACTTCGCATACCTATGAAAGTACAACAGGCTTTATGACGTGCATAGTGTTATCTTTATGCTATATAAGAGAGAAAAATAGGTAGAGTGATTGCCTTTTGAACTCTTGCTTTTCCGTCCCATACACTCGCACTGTTCTAACCAAACTTATCGCTTCTTGAGCAACCTGATTTATAACATAAACATTGGGTGAATCGCTGAAATGTTGAGCAACCTTCTCAAATAGACTTCAATTAAAGGACATAAACTTACATTATTGGCACTTGCAGTGAACTCTTGTGCAAATTTAGAGGCCTTTTTCTGATACCTATAAAACAAAGGTGTCATGATGATTTCTTTCACATGGCCAAAGATGCAAAGCAACAAAATGTGGAAACATGGGAGAGGTATTTTGTCGCATTTACTCAAGATTGCTGCGCACTAGCAACATAATAGGGAAAGGAGCAAGTAGAGAAAAGGGAGAAATAAACTACACAAGAAGTGAAAACAAGTTGTTACCGTCCATGAACTAGCATAATTGTCGACAATGTCCCACAAGTAAGCATAGTGCACAGTCCAAGAGGCCATGATAAGATTAGAAGATAAATCAGTGCTCCTATACCCTGAGACAAAGTAACAACATGAAAAATGAGCTTTTCAAGCTACTGGTGAGTATTGTATGCTCAGATACTAAACAACCTTTTCACCTGAAGCAAATTGCGTGAAATCAAATTAAGATCATTGCCAATAACTCTAGACACTTGCTGGCAGTCAGAACCAAGCCTACTTGTCAAATCTCCGACAGTTTCTTCATCGAAAAACGCAATATCCTGGCACAATATACAATGGAGTTAAGAAAATTTGCAGCAATTCAAAGTAAAGGTATTATTTGCACTAGTACTTCAGGCAACAATATTTTCCCCTTCTGTTTTTACCTGAGAAAGGATGGAATCAAACAGCATTTCTCTCATTCGTTTAACCTAAGAAAAATAGTTGAGATAATGATTGTAAGAGCCTGATCAAAACCAAAGGGCTACCTGGAAGGAATAGACTTGTTAAATTACATAAAATCTAACATGGTTTTACCAATATCATGTTGGCAATACCAAAACAGCAGCTTCGCACACCACTGCAAAAGGGGGACACGAGCTAAATAAGCAACCCAAATATAACTCGCAAAAGCATGCTTAAGGCAAACAATTTTAGTTCTGTGCAGATTGTCTCACAAAACTCCTTGTTTTGATGTTTGCAAACTTGTTTGTGCACGTGCAATTGTCCATGATGTACATTGCAGAAATTAAGTTTTTTGTTTCACAGCGATCGTACTGATTCTGTCACAGCATTCACAATGTACAATGTTGAAATTTAAGTTTGCGTTTTACAGTGATCCTACTTATACTATCCTTCACCCAACTGGAAACATCTCAGTCCAAAACATTTCCCTAATCCTAGATTGTCCATTACCAGCACATTTAATTTATTTATTTTTGAATCCTCATGTAATGTAAAGTGCCGGTAAACGCCTAAGTGGTCTGCTTCACTCGAAATGCGATGAAAACAGATAGTTGCGCAGCCATAGTTTGTAGTGTGACCCTATACACGATATGAGCACAGTTTGAAGGAAGAGATAGCTGACCTAAACACTCCGGAAATCATACACAGAACAACCAGAAGCTTGGCGTTCCGGTAGAAGACGGCCCCTCCATTCTGCGCGGAGAAGATGGAGGCCGCGAGCAGATGGGGGATAGCGATCTCCGCGAGCTGCAACCACGACCACACAGCAGTCAGTACCACACCAACCAACGAAAGCTTATCCGAACCACGCGGCCGAGGCAATCCGCATTACCGCGGCGCAGACGAGCGACGCGAAGCCGGCGAAGATGACCCATCGGTCGTTGGATACGAGGGCCCACATCCGGCTGAGCGCGGAGGCGGCCGTGGCCCCGCTGGCCTCGGCGCGGCCGGCCCCGCCCGCGTCCTCGTCCTCGAGGCGCCACCAGCTGCCCCCCGGCAGCACGTTCCGCAGCCGCCCGATGAACTCGCCGGCGTCGAGGCGGCGCCTGCCGAGCCCGCCGAACTCGCCGTTGACGGTCGCCGCCGCGCGGATCCTCGCGGCACGCAGCCGGAGCCGCAGCCTGGGCGGCGGGGCCCGCAGGCACGGCCGCCAGGGCGCCAGGCCCAGCGACAGCCCCGCGGGCGCCGCGAGGAGCAGCGCGGCCGGGGCCGGCGGCATTTCTCCCTCCTCCCTCCCCCTTCGCGCGCGCGCACGCGATCCGATTCGGAGCGCGATTCAGGCGGGGCAGGGGGCTATTTTGCGCTGCGTTTCCTCTCCTTGCTTTGTCGTGGCCCTTCGTAAACCTTTTTTTTGTTCGCCTCGTGTGCGTGCGTTCGCGGCGAGATGATCCATGCGTGGGCCGGCGGTGGTGTGGCCGTGGAATTTCCGACCCGTTTTCCAGGCTCCCTGGATCGGAATTTTCTGGTCGAGAATAATCGAGTTTGGATTGGGCTCTCGCGCGTCACGCGGCCATGCGAACGGGAGAGAGAGAGCGGCGAAGCAAAGCAAAGCAAAGCAGCTGTTGACTTGTTTCTCCTCCGGCTGCTGGTGTGGCGGCCGTGAACCACGTGGAGTTTCGGCTGCTCTCTTCCCGACCCGCCCCGCACAGGTTCTGAGAAGCTCGTGCGCTTTTGCAGAATCGCACGTAGTACTACGTGCCTGCACGGCTGCACCTGCACTATAGAACGATCGACCTAAAGGGGCGACCTGGACTATAGAACCGGAATTGGAACTATCCCACCCGTGGGCCGTGACCCGTGCGAAACGTATGGGCCTCTTCATTCTTGGATGGATGAGCGCAGTGAGGTGCGAGAGGCACGTACGTCTGGTCTGGGTTAGGTTTGGCGATAAGCACGAGCGACTGGACACGCCGCAGTTTTTTCGACAGAGCATAGCAATCTGCATTTTACACTACCAATTTAGCTCCTTGCAGAGTTTCTGTTACTAGGCCAAATCAAGACTACATCCCAGCCCGCTGCTGGGTTCTGTTACTGCAAAGCGTAGCTCTGGCTTGCCTTTTGCGTGCCGCTAGTGGTCTTTTTCTTCTGCTCTGTGTTCTTTTTATGGCGTTCACTGCTTGCATGGTTTTCTTTGTTTTTCTTTTCATTTTGGGGTTCTTCTTTGTCCTCTTTCTCTCTTACTTTGGTTTTCACTGGTTTTCTTCAGTTTCTTTTTCTACTTTTATTTTGAACCATTCTCTAGTTTTTTTCATATGGATTGTATATTCTTCGTGTGCACCAGGAACATTTCTTATGCACGTTTAACAGTTATTAAATACATGATATTTTTTTCAAATATATGTTTTGATGTCTAGCGCTTTTCATACACATTGTGCATTTTGGTATACATCATAAACATTCTAGACTTGCTTTTTTTTAACATTTTATCAAATATATGTAACATTTTTCAAATACACGTTGAAATAAAAAAGGTACAAAACTTATTTTTTCATAATACAAAACATTTTTTGAAAACTATGTCAACATTCTTTTACAATGTATAAATATTTTTATAAATGCCATAAACATATTCTTGAAATGGATGAACATTTAAAAATGTATTTTTTTTAAACTCATATAACAATTTTTTTAAATGTACAATGTATATTTTTTGCAAATGTCCCATATTTTTTTTGGAACTCATGAACATTTTTTTAATGTCATGAACTTTCTATTTTGAATAGTATCAATATTTTTAAATTTCTTTAACAAAAAGATTACATTGCGTCAAGATTTTTAAAAGCCACATGATTCATTTAAAAAAATGTAATTAAATTAATTTTTAATATATTTTTTATAATATTTCAAAAATATAAGCAGAAAGAAAGAAGAAAATGTGCTCCTGCGTGATTTGGGACGGCCCATTAGGACGACCTTGAGGTGAGCGCGAGTGCGAGGCACACGAGACACATGCGCTCCTGAAGATATAGATGCTTCCTTAAAAAGAAGAGTTGTACTTCTAATTTTTGTTAATAAATACTAGAAAAAAGCCCATATGTTGCAACGGCAAGAAAATAATTCCACACTTTCTAAGCCAATAAATATGACTCAAGACGCCAATAGTTCCGTCTTAAAAAACATGACCTTTATTTGAACACATGGCATCTCATCCATGTTGCCACTTATCCTTCTTTCCACCCTCGTCGACAGTGCTCAGTGCTCATACAATCACAATGTGTTTAAATGTTGTCAATCTAAAGACGTCTCTCTCTCTCTCTCTCTCTCCCTCTCTCTCTCTCCCTAATATGAGAAATCTGCTTTTTTCTGTGAGATTTTGGCGAGGTTTGCATGTATGGTTATAGATGGTTTCTTTGGTCTCCAATACTAGTTTTACCGAGGTGTTCATTTACAATCTGGATAGGCGCGGTATGAAAGGAAGGCAGATCATGCGCTAGTGATTAAGGTTACACCCCAAATAACATTTTTTTAAATGGTTAACAAGTAAACTAATATCATATTGAGCGCTCCCCTGCTTCCGCGCCTAGCGCCGCCCGCCACTCCGGCGCCGGCGGCCACCTCCTGCGTCGCTCTCCACTCCAGAGGCGGCGGCCACCCTCCTTGGCGCCATGGCATCTAGGGTCTCCATCTCTGGCTCGAGTTCGTCGGAGTCCAATGCCCCCTCGCCCTCTCCGTCCCATGGGGTGCCGTCTGTAAGTGCATCTAGTGCCACCCCTAGTTGATTTTGGAGTATTGACGACAAACCTAGTTGAGGGACTAATGTGTTTGTGAGAATTGCAGGATAATACAGGTAGAAGTCCCTCATTGATTCGGTTTTACCACCAGATATGACCCCTAAAAATGTATGAAGACATTGAAGACAAAGGTGGTACATGAAGATATTCACTTTGAAGACTATGACAAAATAAGACACGTTATGAAGCATATGGAGCTCGAAGACTTAGATCTTTCGTAGTTCCTTTTCTTTTGTGTTGAGTCATAGGAACCACCGTACTGTTAAGTGGGGTCCAGGATACCCAGTTAGAATGACTGAAGTGATGCCCAAACTAAAAACCTATGTCTTCGAGTGAAGACAATGAGAGCGAATCTTGTCCAGAGCCGGACAAGTCAGCTTTGCTTGTAGCCCAAGTAAAGTTGCCATGAGAGTTTAAAATCTGACCGTTGATACACGTGTCAGTTCCTTAGTGACCCAGGGTCATTTCGGACAAATCAGGTCGGGTTGCCAAGTGGCTATAAATAGCCCACCCCCACATCCATAAACGGTTGGCTGCTCAGATTTCAGTGCACGGCTTTTGTCGTTTGAGAGCAACCCACCTCGAAGCCTTTGAGAGAAAATTCCTAGTGAGGAGAAAAGCCCTAACCACCCAGAGCCAGAGCAAATTGGGCATCACTTAGGTCTTCTTGTCTGTGTGATCTGAAGACTTATTACACTTGAGGACTGTGAATCCTCCAGACGGTTAGGCGTCGCGTTCAGAGCATCCAAGAGACCTTGTGGATTGCTAGTGAACGAAGTTTGTGAAGGTTTGGGAGTCTACCTTGAAGACTTACCAGAGTGATTGGGCGAGGACTAAGTGACCTTAGCTCAAGGAGAATACGGTGAGGACTTGGTGTCCTGAACTGTGTGTTCAGGACTGTGTGTCCAGGACTGTGTGTCCTAAGGTTTAAATACCTAGCCGCTCCAACCAGACGTACAGTTGTCACAGCAACTGGAACTGGTCCAACACATCATTGTCTTCAACGAGTCACTGGTTTCATCTTCACTTCCTTTTCTTACTGTTACTCATTGTGAAGCCATTGCATACCTGCTCTATCTTTTGTCTTCACAACGTGAATGTATGATCTGGTTGGCTTCATAACTTCTTCCTATCTGATCCTTATTACACTGCAGTTATTTGTCATTGTGCTTTCACTCTATTGAATACATGACCATGGCTGGCCTAGTGTAATCTAACTTCCGCTGCATAGCAATAGGCATAATCTTCGCAGTTTGTCTTCATAACTCTCACGTTTTGAAGACTTTCATAAAAATCGCCTATTCACTCCCCTCTAGTCGATATAACGCACTTTCAATTGGTATCAGAGCAAGGTGCTCCCTTGTTCTGTGTGATTCGGTTTAACCACCTGGAGTTTTAGCTATGTCGACTGCAGGGATAATCAAAGTCTCCGCTGCGTGCCCCGTCTTCGATGGAACTGAATATCCCTACTGAAAGAATAAGATGCGCATGCATCTTGAAGCCATTGACGTCGACCTATGGTATGTCGTCGAGAACGGCGTTCCCAAGGCTGGAGAAGGTGTCACTGCTGCTGATGTCAAGAAGTTCACTCAACTGGACTCTACTGCCAAAAATATCATCTGTGGCCATCTGACAAAAGGACAGTATGGCCGTGTGAGTGCCTTGAAGACATCCAAGCTGGTCTGGGACTGGCTCTCCAAGGTCAATGAAGGCGTCTCAACCCAGAGAGAAAAAAGAATCAGTGTTCTTCGCAACCTCTTCAACTGCTTCAAGCGAAATGACAATGAGAATGTTCAGCACACATTTGATCGGCTCACTGACATCACAAATGAGCTTCAAGCCCTCGGCGCCACTGAGATCACCAAACATGAAATCGTCAAGACGCTGCTGAGATCACTTGATAGTTCGTTTGACATCCTAGCCCTGATGATTCAAGAACGTCCTGATTTCAAGACACTCGATCCGTCTGACATACTTGAGAGGCTCAACACATATGAGTTTCAGCTTTCTGAGAAAAGAGATATCTACGGTCCAAACTATGGGCGAACTCGTGCCTTGAAGGCAAAAGCTGTTTCCTCATCTGAAGAAGAATCTGACAGCTGTTCTGATGATCCTGGAGACATTGGAAGAGAACTTGCAATGCTAGTGAAGAAGTTCCAAAAATTCACCAAGAAGAAAGGCTTCAGAAAATCTTCACGATCAAGCTCAAGGAATGATGAAGCTTCTGCTCATGACTACAAGAAGAAAACATGTCACAAGTGCAAGAAAACTGGACACTTCATCTCTGAGTGTCCACAATGGGACAATGAGAACAGAAGGAAGAAGAAGAGAAAGGAATATGATTCTGACGACAAGAAGAAGAAGAAATACTCAAAGTCTTCTTCCAAGTCTTCCTCAAAATCTTCATCACACAAGAAGAGCTCATCTGGCAAGGCACGTGCATTTGTTGGCAAGGAAATGGATTCAGAGGAGGAGTCCGCTTCTGAGG